TTTCGGTGATACTCCAATCTGTTATGCACTTGTGAGACATCACTAGACTGAAAATTTTACACTCTTTTCAAAAATTAAGAAATCAAATATGGCGACCATAAGAAAATGAAAGTTGAGGCGGGTTGCTGAAAAACAAAATACGATTGAGTCATGTCATACATGCTATCTTATTTTTCTTAAAAACATGTCCGAATAATGTAAAATTTTGACAGCTGCCACATTAAAAAATAAATTCCGCCATTTTCGTTTTTTCGCTGATATTTTCAAAACCAATTAACTGATCGTAAATCCAAAGCCCTCTATCGAAAGCACTAAGTTTCCTATAAAACATTCCCCATTTAACCTTTGCTGTAGGTATAACAGGAGCCTAGATCCCTGGCTTCTGGAACCTATTGCGACAAAACCTGCTTTTAAGCTTATCCCACTACCATGGAAAGTATATATCCAGAGCAGAGCTACAAACATTTCATGAACATAAGAGGTGGTCAGATGAAGCCAGTATGTTCCTTCAAAAAAGTGGAATTTATATTTTTCCGACGAAGACTGGAGCGGTCGAACCGGCCAGTTCTGGATATATATTGAAGTCAGGCAGGCTCAAGGCGCGCATCAGAAGGAGAACTCTGAGGAGCAAAGCTGATGTACATGCTATTGTCTTGAAACAGATGGTAGGGCACGCTACTGGGTCGAGTCGATGCCTTCCATCTCCCAGTAGGTATCCCTATGCGATCCTGTGGCAAATAAACCATGTTCCGAAAGATATCGCTAAACGTTTTATCTGGTATGGGTATTTATGGATTTATTGCCGATCGATAACAACTGGAAAAATTCTTATAACACATTTCACTTTTTTTCTTTTATTTTATTCGCCGGTCTCCCGTCGCGACGGTGGTATTGAATTTCTGTAGATATCGAAGCATAGATTACCGACAATGCTTTTTTTGGTGTTGATGAATATGTCTGTTTTCTCAATAAAATCCCTTCTGCATGCTTCTGCGAATCCAGTTTACCACCATGGCACTATAGTACAGACAAATTAGTAATGTAATATGATATTGAATGTGGCATATAGTGCAGGATCTCGGGGCTGTCAGACATTACTTATTCTTTGAAAGACAAACCGTGGGGTATTGCATAGAGCAGATACATGGTGTCCTAAAAGTTGGGACTTTCCTTTTCAGAAACTAGTAAGTTTGTAATAACAAAGCGAATACGTGATGAAACATCAGTGAAAAAATAAAAAAATATCAAGTATACATCTTGTAAGTATTATCCAAAGTTGTCTGCGATAGATTCAAAGACACATGTATATGCTCGACGTCCTAGGCTTTTAGAATGGACTGCTTTTCCCGAATGAATGCAGCAGAATGCTAAACTCACACACGTAGTTCAACAACCGTGTTCACCTCAGTCTTATACACTAAACATTTCGCCCCAAACAAAAAAATAAATAACGAAGGATCATTAAAAGCGATCTTTTTGCACTTGCGAAGCCTCGGTAACATTTCGAAGACACATTGAAATAATATGGACCACTCCGATATTGGTGTATAAGTGTGCTATTTTTGTTCTTTTTTGACCGATGTGTGAAGGTTTTGTCTGCCAACGCGACCAGCGCCTGGACGAGTACTGATCCGCATAGTTCGTATTCACGTTTGATCTGATCGAAGTGCAGGATCGGATTAGGTTCTGTTTAGGTTTCATTGATTTTGCAGAGTCTAACATCTCGGTAATCTTGTTACTAGAACAAAACTGCTTATTTTCCACGATCTATACGCCGTTTAAAGAAAAGTCCCTAGTTAGAGGACAGCCTATGTACTTTGTAAAACATTATTACGATGTAATATTCAGTACTGCCAGACACTTCCCGCCGGCCATAAATTCTGTCAGACGTTTCTTAAATAACAATGCTTTAGAATATAGTAAGCTCAAAATATTCTCGGTAGTCGTCTAGAGGATAATTTGTGCAACCTGACAAATAGTAATTTCGAACCGGCTTTGAAAGTAGCCATTTTTAGGGCTAAAAGGAACTTAAGTTACTTACAATTTTAAAACGGTTTCTAGAGATATTACCAGGAACTTTTCTTCAATGATCAAAAAAACCTATAATGGCCTACAGCGAAGAACCAATTGTGTGTACGTAGAGTACAAACTTTGATCAGTACTGTAACGATGATGAAAAAACCATCAATCGTTGCGATTTAAATATATCGTATCAATATTCTTGTTACGTGATCTCCCCCGCATCAGATTACGTTATTCACCATCCAGTACCAATTTAACCGGTATATTATCAAAGTTTCTTGTTGGTTGAAAGGAAGAAAAACAAACGAATCCAACCGGATCAAGTATCTCGACGGGCGGTGGGCCTTAGTAAAAATCAGATCCAGTTTTTATTCCAATTGTATTTGAGGTCTCGTACCTAGGTAAAAGCTTTCGGCTAAATCAATTTTGCGTATTTCGATTCTCCTCCACAAGAATAGATATAGTGAGGAAAAGTTGAAAGCCCGCAGAAAAAAATGTGTCTAGGATTGCATCGGTCTGTCTCTCGGTCTGTTCACTAACCTTGAACCGTCTATAACATGGAAAATACGACCTGGATTTTGATGGAATTTTCACACAAAGGCTATGCCAAGGATAGACAAATAAAAGTCGCTCAAACTTCGTTCGTCTCAGAGGCTCCTGATCATTTTCGGAAAGAAATTTGTGGAGTTTAAAAATTCGAGGCTATAGGGGGTGGGGAGTGGTAGATATACATAAATTTTTTGATATAAGATTTACACCCTTCCAACCGGCACGGGTATCACGTATCTTGAAAAGTGACATTATGCCGGTTTTTTAGACATTATGCTGTTTTCTTTACATTATGTAGGTTTTTCTACAAGATATTAACTTAGCTCTTAGTTGAACGTGTTGCCTAAACGTCATGAGGCTTGTTATCAATCTTTTGCTCTGATGTGATGTAAAATCTGCTTCTGAGATGGCATTACTGGAGGTCTAAGCTGTAAGTTGTATGTGTTGATCATAATTACATTGGGTTCTTGTCTCAAATAATTAGTAATAAATTAGTTGCGCATCCACTTTTTCTTATCCATTCTGGAAATTACATGTACAAATTTGCTGAATTTAAAAAATGAGACAGATGAGAAATAATTATATTCACTGTACACTGTCGAATTACAAGTCATATACATGCTAACAGTAATTACACACTACGCGGGCGCGGTGATGATTTCCCGTAATTCTCCTCAGTTTTTCGTAATTTATGACATTAAACATAAACTCTCTTCAAAAAGCACAACATAAAAATAACCCATCGGGCACAGCCAATAGATATACTTCATTTGCAGCATATTCAGTGATGATTTTCTCACAAAGCAAATATCACTGATTTTATACACATGCAGGCCAATACACATAATCATCCAGATGCGATCTTGCAACACAACACAACTTTCTTTTCAGAGACAAAAACTCTGTAGTTTGGTCTCACAAAACATATGCAACCAATAATGCGCTTAGTTTAGTTGAGTGATTCCTCCTTAGATGGACGTTCACAACGATCCTAGTGAGCAAACGCGGAATGACTGCTTGCGCCCTAAAAACAACCTAGTTTGCCAGATGACATCTTATAGGTTTTTTTGACGTGATACTATGGACCTATTAGCCATATTTCACACATCATATATTCCCCCGTACATTTGCGCTCAAAACTTGATGGGCTCACCGGCGAGTGGTATGAACTCGATGAGTGTCCTGCCATTACCACCGCGCCGCCGAGCTGTCGCATTGTGCGGACGCGCTGCTGACAGATGGACGGTACTACTGGCAGGGCAGAGTAATAATGTCTATGGGTTAATAATATGGGCCTGTTTGATTTACTTGATCCGTTATACATGGTCAAGCTAATTTTTCTCTAACTGGTGCTGAACTGAACTGAACACAGCGTTGCGCGGGAATGCAGAGTCGACCTACTTGACGCCATTTTTATGTGATTGAACCATCTGAGAAGCCAAAGCCCACAAAAGTCTCCAGCTTTTTTATTCTATGGAAAATTGATTTAAATAACCTGCTTCACGTATAAAAAAAGTCTTTTTGCTAGGTAGATGACACCCCATTCATCTGGATTATAAACCTCCTAAAGGGCTACCATTTGCACCGGCTGAAGTGTAAAATGTTTCAGTTGCACAATATTAGTGGTAACGTTACTGTAGGCCCACTACATAGGCAGGGAATTCCTAATTTCTAGAATGCCAAAGACATTACCGCCTATAACGTGAGAACCAACCTGGTAACCTAGTGAACTCTTAATACTCAACATTACAGTAGTTATGGAATCAGCTTTATAGGCTGATCTTATTAGGAAATAGTTTTATGTTGCGAATGAGTAGTTTCAGATAAACTAAATTCTTGAACCATAAGACCATTAAAGGCTGGGGACACCTTCCATATATGGGCAGTAACACTCGAAACCTGGGACGGTACATAGAATTGCAGTCACCTTTCTATACAAATATTGAATGCCGAAGCTACTTATGCAGATTGTAAAGATTAGTTCTGTATAGTAAAATTTGAATTATTGTTTGATATTGGTGTCAAAACGGATAGGATGGGACAATCTAAGAATTCTCCCGCAACAAAGGATTTTTCATATTTTACAACAGTTAGGTAGTTCTCGTGCCTTTTTAGGAAAGACATTTTTTGTTAAAATAGGTAATTATTTTTGTAAAATGCTTTTGCTATTTGTCCAAATGATTGAAAACCCTATTTACGTCTGAATGTTACCTTGCTCTGAGATTTAGGCTTGACACGTCCTAGACTGTGAGGTCAAAATCACATTCGGACGTAACAATTTCTGCTTTTTCTATTTGCAGTGTAAACATGACAGACTTCATCAAGATCATAGGTTAAAGTAAGAGGCAAGGTCATAGACAAGGCCATAGTCAAGGTCATAGTCAATGTCATAGTCAATGTCATAGTCAATGTCATAGTCTATGTCATAGTCTATGTCATAGTCAATGTCATAGTCAATGTCATAGTCAATGTCATAGTCAATGCCATAGTCAATGCCATAGTCAATGTCATAGTCAATGTCATAGTCAATGTCATAGTCAATGTCATAGTCAATGTCATAGTCAATGTCATAGTCAATGTCATAGTCAATGTCATAGTCAATGTCATAGTCAATGTCATAGTCAATGTCATAGTCAATGTCATAGTCAATGTCATAGTCAATGTCATAGTCAATGTCATAGTCAATGTCATAGTCAATGTCATAGTCAATGTCATAGTCAATGTCATAGTCAATGTCATAGTCAATGTCATAGTCAATGTCATAGTCAATGTCATAGTCAATGTCATAGTCAATGTCATAGTCAATGTCATAGTCAATGTCATAGTCAATGTCATAGTCAATGTCATAGTCAATGTCATAGTCAATGTCATAGTCAATGTCATAGTCAATGTCATAGTCAATGTCATAGTCAATGTCATAGTCAATGTCATAGTCAATGTCATAGTCAATGTCATAGTCAATGTCATAGTCAATGTCATAGTCAATGTCATAGTCAATGTCATAGTCAATGTCATAGTCAATGTCATAGTCAATGTCATAGTCAATGTCATAGTCAATGTCATAGTCAATGTCATAGTCAATGTCATAGTCAATGTCATAGTCAATGTCATAGTCAATGTCATAGTCAATGTCATAGTCATGTCATAGTCAATGTCATAGTCAATGTCATAGTCAATGTCATAGTTGAGGTCAATGTCATAATCAAGATCAAGATGGACAAAGTGACAATCAACGTCTTATCCTATCCAAGGCCATGGTCAAGGTCAAAGTCAAGGTCACATTTAGATAATCCCCACAAAACTCTCAAATATGCTGTAGAGCAATTTTGCTACAGCAGATTGTTTTACAACGTCTTGACTATACCTTGAAATCGCCTTTGAGGTGCTAGTCAAGTTCATGGTGATGGACATATCTTAACATCAAATGTCATCTTTTCAATTCCGATGCAAAAAGGGGGTCTACTTGTGTGAGTACATTGTTGCTCCATAGTGAGGATCAGTATATCTCCACATTGTAGCGATGACATATATCTTCTGTCTGTATATATATATACAATTCATTACACTAATCTTATTCAAGACCTGATTAAAAACTGCATCTGCAATATTATTTCTCTATGTAGCAATCTGGATGCAGTCTTCTTCATATATGTTTGTTATGAACCTCAATGAATATTATTGTCCTTACACTATTTTTCTTATTTAACCTAAAATTGTATACCAATATATATTTTATGTGATGTTTTTAACGTATCATGGTTTAAATGTATCTCAAATCTGATTGTTTAAGCGTCTAGACCTTATGTACTTTTATGATTATCCATTTATATATTATCTCTATTTATATTAATCTTTTATCAAAAGTTTTTTTAATGTTCTTACTAATTTAGTAGCAGAAAATACTATCTTCCTGTTAAACTTTGAATGGCAATATTAACTTTATTATTTCATTTTTCTGTACGATAAACAAAGCAAGGGTACGTTTTCCTATGCTTAGTGAAGAGTAAGTTTTACGTGAGTATCAGCCATGACTTATCCTACATAATTTTTTTTAATGACCAAAGGTATCAATAAAGTATCCACCTATCTATTCTATTCTATTCTGTTCTATTCTGTTCTATTCCGTTCTATTCTGTTCTCTTCTGTTCTCTTCTGTTCTATTCTGTTCTGTTCTGTTCTGTTCTGTTCTGTTCTGTTCTGTTCTGTTCTGTTCTGTTCTGTTCTGTTCTGTTCTGTTCTGTTCTGTTCTGTTCTGTTCTGTTCTGTTCTGTTCTGCTCTGTTCTGTTCTGTTCTGTTCTGTTCTGTTCCGTCTGTTCTGTTCTGTTCTGTTCTGTTCTGTTCTGTTCTGTTCTGTTCTATTCTGTTCTATTCTGTTCTATTCTGTTCTATTCTGTTCTATTCTGTTCTATTCTGTTCTATTCTGTTCTATTCTGTTCTATTCTGTTCTGTTCTGTTCTGTTCTGTTCTGTTCTGTTCTGTTCTGTTCTGTTCTGTTCTGTTCTGTTCTGTTCTGTTCTGTACTGTTCTGTTCTGTTCTGTTCTATTCTGTTCTATTCTGTTCTATTCTTTTCTATTCTGTTCTATTCTGTTCTATTCGGTTCTATTCTGATCTATTCGGTTCTATTCTGTTCTATTCGGTTCTATTCGGTTCTATTCGGTCCTATTCGGTTCTATTCGGTTCTATTCTGTTCCATTCTGTTCCATTCTGTTCCATTCTGTTCCATTCTGTTCCATTCTGTTCCATTCTGTTCCATTCTGTTCCATTCTGTTCCATTCTGTTCCATTCTGTTCTATTCTGTTCTATTCTGTTCTATTCTGTTCTATTCTGTTCTATGCTGTTCTATTCTGTTCTATTCTGTTCTATTCTGTTCTATTCTGTTCTATTCTGTTCTATTCTGTTCTATTCTGTTCTATTCTGTTCTATTCTGTTCTATTCTGTTCTATTCTGTTCTATTCTGTTCTATTCTTTTCTATTCTGTTCTATTCTGTTCTATTCTGTTCTATTCTGTTCTATTCTGTTCTATTCTGTTCTATTCTGTTCTATTCTGTTCTATTCTGTTCTATTCTGTTCTATTCTGTTCTATTCTGTTCTATTCTGTTCTATTCTGTTCTATTCTGTTCTATTCGGTTCTATTCGGTTCTATTCTGTTCTATTCGGTTCTATTCTGTTCTATTCTGTTCTATTCTGTTCTATTCTGTTCTATTCTGTTCTATTCTGTTCTATTCTGTTCTATTCTGTTCTATTCTGTTCTATTCTGTTCTATTCTGTTCTATTCTGTTTTATTCTATTCTGTTCTATTCTGTTCTATTCTATTCTAATGTGTTCTATTCTAATGTGTTCTATTCTGTTCTATTCTGTTCTATTCTGTTCTATTCTGTTCTATTCTGTTCTATTCTGTTCTATTCTGTTCTATTCTGTTCTATTCTGTTCTATTCTGTTCTATTCTGTTCTATTCTGTTCTATTCTGTTCTATTCTGTTCTATTCTGTTCTATTCTGTTCTATTCTGTTCTATTCTGTTCTATTCTGTTCTATTCTGTTCTTTCTGTTCTATTCTGTTCTATTCTGTTCTATTCTGTTCTATTCTGTTCTATTCTGTTCTATTCTGTTCTATTCTGTTCTATTCTGTTCTATTCTGTTCTATTCTGTTCTATTCTGTTCTATTCTGTTCTATTCTGTTCTATTCTGTTCTATTCTGTTCTATTCTGTTCTATCTATTCTATTCTGTTCTATTCTGTTCTATTCTGTTCTATTCTGTTCTATTCTGTTCTATTCTGTTCTATTCTGTTCTATTCTGTTCTATTCTGTTCTTTTCTCTTGTATTCTGCTCTATTCTCTTCTAGTCTTTCTATTCTGTTCTATTCTATTCTATTCTATTCTGTTCTGCTCTATTCTATTCTATTCTGCTCCGTTCGGTTTCATTCCATTCTATTCTATTATATTGTGTTCTATTCTAATCTTTTCTAATCTATTCTGTTCTATTCAATCCTATTTAAAAATATTCACTTTACGTCGAAATGACTTCAAAGGTCGTGGCCAAGGTCATTTTCAAGGCCCCCATTATTTTGCGTTCCCAACTCCTACAACTTTGGTTCGAAACTTTTCTTCAGTTTTCGAAATATTTTGTTGGGAAGATTAAAATGGCCACACTCTATATACTCTTTGTCAGTGCTTGTTGCTGATTACGTGTGAAAAAGTAGATTATAGTTTTGATGTGATAATTTTCCTCTAATTTCTCTAACCGTGTTGGCTTTATCTCCTCTAAAGTCAAAATGGCGCATAATGCATTTGCACCCATGTTATCCCAGAAAATTCATTGTTAAATAAAACAATTACCATAGAATTCGGAGAGTGCATACCTCAACTGTCGAGTTGCCCAAGCTTCCAAGCATCTGAACTATGTCGCACCTTGGAACTTTCCGGCTTAAATATTTTCTCTCAACAGTTTTCCAGGCGGAGCACAGCACAAGTTATTGGCTTCAGTGGTAACTTTCCCGCAACTATTTCGCTAGGAATTCGCTGCTTTGCTTTCGGTGCTTGTTTCTTTAATGGTGAGAACAATGTGCTGCTTGAAGCTTTTACAGAAAAGTTGCGGGAGATTTTTCGTTCAATTGTTAAGTTAGAAATAGACTGAGATACGCTGCTTGTATGTGCGAAGACCACTTCCTAAAAACCGATTTCGCAATCGTGCTACGCATCCTGTCACGTGACGTCTGTGTAAGTGAAATATGCTTAATAGGTGCATATATAATTACTAAGGTTGGGATCGTATGAATGTACTAACATCAAAAATTTGAGTTCTTCACCTGTATTTTTTTATTTAAATAATAATGGTCAATTTTTATTCTTTTTCATTTTAAAACTTTTTCTTTGATGCCACTGGACCGATTTTCAAAAACTACAAAGCTTTCCTTGGGATAGTAGTAACATTGTGTAGCAATTGCATCGAAACTTCTCAGGTTATAGGGGGTTATAGGGATAGCGGACAGACTGACTGACATCCAAAAAAGATGCTACCTCAGTTTCGAAAATTTTCACGATTACGATACTTCATCGCCAGTAGACGTAAAGTAAGAAATGATAGAGCACCGCGATTTGGAATAGAAAATGGGACTTCTGGGACATTCCATAGAATCAGGTATATGATCCATGCATCCGATATACCCGTGAAGTTAGTCTAGATCTAGATGAACAGAGATAACAATTTTTAAGTTTTCCTGCTCCATGAATTTCTCAATCCAAAATTTACATTTTCGTTTGCTGTTGCTACAAGCAAATAATACTCATTGATTAGACGTAGCTTGTTATAATTTTATGTTTTATGTTTTTATTGTCACCCTTTTAACCATATTTGTATTCATTTTCTTTTTGCTACTGAGAGATGCGAGGTGAAATCCCACTCTAAGGTACTTAAAGTAAGAAGAAATATTTGGAGTTTCCTAAATCAACTCCAAAACATTTTTCAGCTATAACCTTTGTCAGGTCAGGAAGCTTGACGGATAAAAATTGAAAGACTTGGGGTAATAGGCCACATTAGCATTAGTTCGATAAATCTGAAGTTATAAGTTTTACGTAAATACTGACATCACGTTTCTTGCTTAATTTCGATTGAAGTGCCTTTGGTGAGCAAAGATTTTGTGACAACAGAATCGAAAAAATGTAACATATTTTCGTAACATACAATTTTGAAAATACTGTGACGTGGAGCCTCATTGAAAATAATGTTGTACTCCAAGAGTATTTTAAAAACTGTTTTATAAACATATGAATCCAAATGCTAAAAGCTCTGTTTTTCCATTAGTTCTTTGTGACATGTTATCTATTTCGAAAAGATTATGGATGTTCCTGAAGAAAATCACAAGTTACGCATTAAATTTATTTGGTTTAGAAGGGCGTAAACCACTCATCACAATATTACATATTATTAACGCGTTCCTGGCTGTCTACGAGAGTAGTCTAAAATCATGATCTAGTGCTATTGAGAAACTGATACAAAAATAGTTAGAGTAAGTAAACAAAAACATAAGCCACATCTACAACGGCACTAAAGTCATAAGCCACACATTTTTTAATTGCCTAAGTTACTCGCTCGGATTCACTATCAGAACTATCAGTCTGAGGATA